ATAAGAATCAAGAGATCACAATTTAAAGCATTAATAATAATTGAAACAACAAACAGAAGTTATATGAAAACACTGTGATCACTTCTATTAGATGATAGCAAACTAGTTCGAGTAATGCAAGGTGAAGAAGATTATGAGCAAAGAAATAAACATGGTCACTTCACAGCAAAACTTTTAGAAGTACCCAAAGGAGCTTCTGAAGTGCTGTTGTTATGAAGCTTAAAAAGTAGAGGAGCTAAATCAGTATTTATGCCAACAAATAGTAATGGCAACTCCAAAGGTTTTGCAATAGTTATTTTTGCAAATCGTATAGACCTAGATAATGCATAGTCTAAACCAATATGAAACAACAACTACTCTGTTTTCTGGGAAGGCTATAGAAAAGATGAAGCATTAAGAAGAAAAAGTAAAACAACAAGAGGAGTAAATTGGATTAGAGAAGAAAAAAGTGATAAACATGAAATGGAATATGAATACAATATAGAGATTTTAGATAAAGATTCGAAGACCAAACAAGAAAAAGAAGACAAAAGAGCATCAGAAAAGGAAAAAGAATTGTCAACTAAAGATTTATTACTTGGAATTATTAGCAGACTAGACAAATTTGAAGCACAATATGAAGACAAGTTAGAGTTAGCAAGATCAAGTCTTGCAAATTGCTCCTAAAATTTGCCAAGTTTGAATCAAAATCAACAGATATAGAGTCAAGCTCCTCATTACAAAATGAAGAAAGACCAAGAATACTATCAAGAAATGCTTTATATCTGAACAAAGAAACAGAAAACATTAAAAAAGAGCTACCGAAGATAAGAAGAATATATAAAAACAAAAGAGTTGAGTTAAATATAGCAACACATAATATTAATAGGCTTAAAACAAATAATCAAAAAATAGAAGCACTATATGAATGAATAATTGATAATAAATTAGATATAGTAGGTTTAGCTGAAATGAATATCTCAACCAAAGAAGGTTTTTTCCAAGAAAAAAAGTTAGAAGAATTCAAAAGTGTTTGGTCAAGTGAAAGTTCAGACAAAAAGAAGGGTTTAGGTGTAGGATTACTAATCAGCAAAAAATGAAAAAGACATTTAGGCCAAGTAGAGAGAACAAATGAATATATGATTTCAGCTAGTTTTTTCTTTAAACAAGTAGAAATTATAATTATAATGGCCTACCTACTACCAAACAATAAAGAAGAGAGAAAAACAATTCAGAAGTCGATAATTGACAAATATATTAAAAGGTTGCCAGGAACACAAATAGTAGTTATGGGTGACTTTAACATAATAGTAAATGTGAGCCTGAATAGACCATTAAGCCAAAGGAAAAAACAAATCAAGCTAGACCCATTACTTGGTTGGTTAGAAAGACAAGAATTTAACGATGCATTTAGATTAATTAACCCAAATGCAAAATAATTTTCATGATTAGAACGAGGATCCAAATCAAGAATAGACTATATATGGATTACTGAAGAGTTAGCAAATGGTCTTCGTGATGCAAAAGTTCAAGAAATAGATACATGCACAAATAGTGATCACAAGGCAGTTATAGCAAAGATAGATTTAAGCCATCTAATTACACCATATAGTGCAACAGAGATTAAAAGAAAAAACTATAAAAGAACAGTATTTTTATATGATAAAGCATC